ATTCTTACACCTTTCATTCAAGTCATAAGGATAAAAATAATCGGTGCTTAGGATGAACAAGGAGAACAGGAGAGAGAAAATTGTGTTTAAGTAAGGAGAATATTTTTTGTAAGAGTGAAACTTTTTTAATTTTCTTTTTAAACTTTTTAACTTTATATATTATCTTTATAATTAACTTTATTATAATAAAAAATTATTTTTTTATTAATTAGGTGGGTTGCAGGTTGGCCCACCCCGTCCCGCTGGTTTGGCCTGCGGGTTGGTGGATTTGGCGGAGCGGGCCAAAGCGGACTGGTGGACTGAAAACACCAACCTGTCCCGCCATATTATGGCAGGCTGGCGGGCCGGCCTGCCAGACCTGACCCGTTTTGCCATTACTAATCACTGTCATAAGATATTAAAGTTAAAATACATATTTGACAATATCACTCAAGTTAAAGACATTAAACTTATTTATGTGTCTCTTAGAAGACATGTTACTTAACAAATGTGTCTAATACGTGTCTCTTGGAAGACATGTTGCTTAACAAATGTGTCTAACACATTACTATTTCTCTGGTCACTTGTCTCATAAATGTCTATCACATGACTACCATTATTAGATTATTAAATTTATTATGAGTTTAATTAAAATATATATTATTTAAAAATATCATTTAGAATAATTTACATATGAAAATTTGAAAACAATGAAAATAATAATTATTTTATTTATTAAATAATTGCATATAATACATCAAAGACATTCAACTTAATATATTATTTTTAATGGTTTTGACATTATATCTCTAAGAAAATAGGTAGAAAGTTTTTATCGTTTATATATATATATATATATATTACAATTTGCTTAAAACTTTAATGGAGGTAAGATTTGTAATACACTCTCCATAACATGGAAAATATAAGGGACACTCTCTCATTGCGAATGAGTTTTTAAATTGTGACGAGATAACTCGTGATATAATAGTCCTAACAAATATTACTATAATATAATATGTTCTCATGTCATATTCAAGTAGTGCAAGATTAGATTTGTAACACATTTATATATTATAATTTGATTAGACTTAGTTAACATGAAATATATAATATTTTATCTCACAATAAATATTTTTTTCAAACAACTAATATTTTACTTTTAACAATTAATTTAGTTTAGAGATACTTAATAAAAAAAATTTAAATAATTTACCATGTCACTTTATTTCTTCATTAAAAAAATAGTTAAAGTAACTAATATTTTACTTCAACATTTCAATAAACAACTATTGTTAAAAATATTTTTTATTATTATAAAATTTCACAATAGATAATTAAATAATACAATTTATCAACTAAAAACCATAAAATAAATAGACAACATACATTCAAACACAAACATATTAACATATTTTAATTCTTATCTTTTTTACATTGTTATTTTCCTCTCTTTAATATTAACTTAATCATAGGAGAATATTCGTATGTGAACTCTCTCTTTTGCATTTCCTGTATACAATTTGATCAAGAAACTCCTCATTTTATTCATGTTATCTTAATTAGATGAGAGTAAACCTTTTTATTCTACATATCTCATTCATGTTTTTGTCTGATACCTAACAATGGAGATATCCAGTGATCAACACGAGAAAAAATTAGACCATCTTAGCATTCATAATATGTAATGGCAAGTCATGATGCGTATTATCTTCTAAATGAAAAAGGAGAACCTTCAACTTTTCAAGAGGCTATAAGTTGTTCAGATGTTTCTCTATGGATGACTGCAATACAGGAAGAAATGGAGGCTCTTCATAAAAACAAGACATGAAATCTTGTGGAACTTTCGAAAGGTCGAAAATTCATTGGTTGCAAATGGGTCTATAAGATCAAGAGAGATGATAATAATCAAGTAGAAAGATAATGTGCTAGATTAGTGGTAAAGGGATATACTAAAAAAAAGGTATTGATTTCAATGAGATATTCTCGCCGGTTGTCAGATTGACGTCCATTAGAGTTGTCCTGGCTATATATGATGCATTTGATTTACATCTTGAACAATTGCATGTAAAGACTACTTTTCTTCATGGAGATCTTGAAGAGAAAATTTATATGCTCCAACCAGAAGGCTTGAAAGAACAAGAAACTTGGTTTGCAAGTTGACCAAATCTCTATACGGTCTAAAACAGGTGCCTAGATGTTGGTATAAAATATTTGATTCCTTCCTTATTTGTGTTGGTTACAATAGATTGAGCTCAGACCATTATACATATTATAATAGGTTTAGTGATAATAATTTTGTTAACTTGTTATTATATGTGAATGACATGTTGGTAGTAGGCCCCAACATAGATTGAATCAAAGAGTTAAAGGTACAGTTGGCTAGGGAGTTTGACATGAAGGACTTGGGACCAACAAACAAGATTTTAGGGATGCAAATTCACAGAGACAGAAAAGATAGGAAAGTTTGACTTTCTCAGAAGAATTACTTACTGAAAATCTTGCGGCGCTTCAACATACAAGATTGCAAGCTAATTTCCACCCCACTTCCTATCAATTATAAGTTATCCTTAAATATGAGTCCCAATAATGAAGCGGAGAGGATGAAAATGTCTCAAGTACTATATGCATCAGCAGTGGGAAGTCTTATGTATGTCATGATTTGTACAAGACCAGACATTGTACAAGAAGTGAGAGTAATTAGTAGATTCATGAGAAACTCTGGTGGAGAGCATTGAAGTGCTATAAAAAGGATCCTTAGATACATCAAAGGAACCTCAGGTGTTGCATTATATTATGGAGGATCAGAACTAGTTGTCAGAGGCTATGTTGATTCAGATTTTGCAGGTGATCTGGATAAAAGGAGATCTACTACTGGTTATGTGTTTACAGTTACAGGATGTTGTAACTCTGTCTACCACAGAAGTTGAGTACATGATAGTCACCCAAGCATGTAAGAAAGTTATTTGGATTAAGAGGATAATGGAGGAACTCGGGCACAAGCAACAACAAATTGTTGTGTATTATAATAGTCAGAGTACCTTGCACATTGTAAGGAATCCAACCTTTCATTCAAGGACAAAACACATAGGAATAAAATATCATTTTGTTTGAGAAGCAGTGGAAGAGGGTAGTGTGGATATGCAAAAAATTCACATAGATGAGAACCTAACAGATGTTATGACAAAGTCGATTAGTGTTGACAAGTTTGTATGGAGTCGATCCTACTATGACCTAGAAAAAAATAAGCAACATGGATGACAAGAATAAAGCAAGCATGGTGTGAAGATTTGATTAATTTAATCAAAGTTTTCAAGTGGGAGATTGTGAGAAGGAAAGTCACACACCAGGAAAATCTTAGTTTGATGTTTCCTTTTCTTACTATAAAAGGAGCACAATATTTACCTTGTAAAATACACCAAAATTATTTTCTTTTCTTTCTCTTGTTGTTTTAGTATGTGAGAGATAAATTAAAAGAGAAAAATAGTTTCTCCTTTTAGGTTCTCTTAGAGTGGTATTTCCTTTATTTTCAGGAGAGAGTGTTATTGTTTCCTCCTTGGAGGTATAGAGAGAAGAGTTGTAATTTCTTTTATTAGTGGAATTACTCTTTTGCCTATTGTCGATGTTTTTCTCATCTTTTTATTTTATTTTCTTATAAAATAATATAAGAAATGTTATTTTTTAAATATATCTTAATATTTAAATTTAAATATAAAGTCGAGTGGATAGGGTCGGGGTATTGCATTATCCATTTCGTCCCCGGTTAACTCGATTTTTCCCATCAAATTAAAAATAGAGACAAATTGGTTATCGCGGGTACGAGTTTAATTATTACCCCTAATATATGCAGACAAAAACATATTATCATACTTTGATTCATAATTTTTACATTGATATTAACTTAATCATAAGAGCATCTCCGTATACGAACATCTCTCGTACTTGTATACAACTTGATCATGAAACTTCTCTCATTGATATTAACTTAATCACGAACAAAAATATTAAGACGTGAACCTCTTTATTTTACCTATCTCATGATTATGAAACTTGGAAGTTTTTACTTACTAATTAGTTTGAGAATTATCAAGACTTAACTCTAAAAACAATTAACTATTGACTTCATAATATTAATATATATAATAAAGATCATTACTTATTTTATTATAAAACTTATGTTAATATAATATGAATTTATAAATATTTATATTTTATTATATAGTTTACATTATATTTAACAACTTTTAAATACTCACACATAATTCATTCTAATTATAACATCTTAATTCTCAATACTCCTGATTTATTAAATTTTGACAAAATCTTTATCAAAATTTTAATAATTAAATTATTAAGAATTTGGTAAATCAACTGTAGAGTTTTATGTTTATTAGATTGTTTATGATTTTCTGGAATTTTTAGAAAATACTCAAAATTGACACTAGTGAAAAAAAAGGCTTTTACGTCACCCAATTGTCGTTGCATGTAAAAATATTTGACGTAAATAAAACGCGGTGGCAATTTTGTAAATAAGAGACAAAACTTTTACGTCGCGTGCTGGGGTGCGTGACGTAAAAAGTCCCTTTTATTTCCCTCCCACTCCCTGGTCTCGCGCAGCAAGGGTCTCTCAGGTCTCACCAGTTCTCAGGTCTCTCCTGCTTTCTTCCATTCCTACATATCCTCACATTCAAACCCTAATTCCAACCATTTGCATCTTCCATTCACACGCACTTTTATTTTGTTAATGTTAATTTGATTTCGATAAATTTCACGTGGCAGGGAATACTCACAACCCTCTCGCAAAGTAACGGAGAGTACAAGTATGATTATGCCACAATCCCATTTCTCGCCGAGGTTTTCAAGGTAAATTAATAAACACTTCATGCGTCAATTTTATTTGTTAGGAACCGAGTTTTGATGCTGCATAATAGCGGTTGCTTATTTCATCTTTGCTAAACACTCAGCTTGCGGTGTCAAGTTTGTTATTGTGGAGGGAATGCCAAAAGTCACCTCTGCCAAAGATGACGACGGAGTGGAAAACGGTTGCCCTGTTCCCGATTCCCTCAGTTATATATCTCATCCACAATAATGTGCAGTTTGCTACACTCACTTATGTGGATACTTTCACCTATCGGATAATGGGAAATTTGAAGATTGTTACGGCTGGGGTACTATTCGGGTGCCTTCTCTTTTCACGGTTCGGATTTTACATCGGTGTTGTTGTTTTCTCGAGTTAGTGACTTTCTTTTATTTCTTTGTAGGATGTTCTTAGGTAGGAGGCTTTCTAACTTGTAGTGGATGGCTATTGTGTTATTGGTCTGTCGGGACAACCACTAGTCGGGTGCCGAGAAAATTGTGTCTCACAAATTTGGTTTTGTGCCTTTTAAATTTTGTTTATAAGAAGTTATCTACTGTGCTTTATGCATTGTTTGATATGGATAATGAACTTAAAATCGGTGTTGAGGAGTTAGATGAATATCTAGTTCAGACGTTTGTTAGGGTTGTGCAAGCTGTGATGCAATAGGTCTAGATAAGTTTTATTTGTCATTTTCTTATGCATCACTCTCATCTCCTAAGGTCATTTTCATACAAAAAAATGATTCCTTTATTGTTTCCTTTTGGAAGATGCCTCACTTGCACTACTTCTACTATATCCTTTCCTTAGAATAATATATATTGAATAATATATGACTTTTTTCCACTTAGAATCGTGTATCGGAACTAATGTTCTAAGTGGAAAACCTAGAACAAAGACTTTACAGTTCATTTATCCTAAGGTTAGAAACTTATTTATATAAGTGAATACCATAATTATTATTTGTATTTAAATTTTGAAAATAACATTATGTTTTTTTGCATCATTTCGGTGTAATAAGCAAACAGACTCGTTTGAATGTGGTTACTATGTTATGTATTGGATGAGAGTCATAGTTTGTGCGGATATAATTGATTCTTGGACGGAGGTAATTGTTTTTAACATTAGTTAAGTTTATTTAACTTTATTCATGTTGCATGTTTACAAGAGTCAAATTAATGTTTTAGGTATTTCAAGATTCATCTCCATTACCAGAATATGATATTACACAAATTAGAGAACAATGGGCAAAATTTTTTGTTCAACAATTCTAGTACATAATTTTTTAAGTTCTTGTTCATATTATATTGTGTGTATTATGTAGTTTAGGTAGCTTAGTTTGTATTAACTTTTAGTTTGTAATAGATTTTTTAGTTTGTATGTTTGTATTATATTGTTTTATTATGTAGTTTGAATTATATAATATTATATTTTTAATTTACTAGCTAAAGAAAATTGAACCTCCGGATCTGTTTAGTTGTAATATATATTTGCGGGTTTTAGTTGTAAAACAGAATCAACCCAATTTAAAAAAAAAATAGCAAATATACGTCGCATATTGGTATATGCGACGTAAATTTACGTCACATATGGTACATACGACGTAAATTTACGTCACATATGGTATATGCGACGTAAATTTACGTCACGTATTGGTATATGCGACGTAAATTTACGTCGCATATTGGTATATGTGACGTAAATTTACGTCGCGTATAGCAATATGCGACGTAAATTTGCTGTTTTTTTCTTAATTTTTGAAAGTTTTTACGTCTGTTTAGTGGTATATGCAATGCAAAATTACGTCGGGTCTTGATAACTGACGTAAATTTACGTCGGGCTAAAGGGTCCGACGTAAATTTACGTCTCCCGTTTTAACGTCAGTCTTGAATACGACGTAAAAAACCCTAAATACCTGACGTAAAAGCCCCTTTTTGCACTAGTGTGACCCGTTTTGCGGACAATTGGGCGCCATATAGTAATTATATGTTTTAAGGTAGAAATTGAAAGTAAGAGAAGTAATTAAATTAATAATTTAATAATATTGTAGAGATGAGAAATTGATCATTTGGTTAGACCCTTGTCATAAGATTGGAGGTCATGAGTTCGATTTTTGTATGTGCATTAGAACAATTATAATTTTTCTATTATTTTATAATTGTTAGAAAATACTCATGTGTGTGCGTGAACGTTAATCATGGTCTTAACAAATTTTAATTGACACATTTAGAAATTATTGTTGTTTTGTATGCATTGAGTGTGGATACATTAAAATTGTAGTATGTGTGTGAATTGACAAGAAACATATGATGGCTGATATGGTTTGGCCTAATGCTTGAGTCTTAGATTTTGGGGACTCAAATTGTGACTAGAGTAAAAAGGAAAAAAAAAATGCATAAGCTGAGCGGAAATTTAGGTGAATTAGAAATTTGACTTTAGATTTCCTCATTTCTCTCTTTCTCTCAAAACTTTCCTTACCTTTGATTTTGAAAGGGAAATCTTGATTTTCTTGAGGAGCTCCAAGAGGATTTTGATTTTCTTGAGGAGCTCCAAGAGGTAAGCTTGTTTCTCTCAATCTCCTCTACACTTCTACAATTTTATTTTTTAAAATTGTGCATTTTCAATTTTTCTCCTCACTTGGCTGAGTTTTAATGGGAGTGGGAAGAGTTTTATTGTAGGTATTACACCTAGGACACTAGAATAATGCTTAGAGTTAAGGATTAGAAGTGGTTGAGCTAAATACCTTAAGAACCCTAATTCACAGGTACTGTTCACTAAATTTATGATACTTGTGTGAACAGAATTAGGACTTGATTCCTTCATGAAAGTTGTATCTCTTTAAGTTGTCGAAATTTAAAAAATGGTTTCATATCAAATGAATATTTGTAGCTCAATTTATACTCATTATACTGTCAAGTGTTCTAACTGTGACGTTAAGAGGTTTCCCTATTTCAACTGCCTCGGTTTTTGAATTACTGGGATTGATATGTGTGAAATTAGGATTTGATTTTTTCATAAAAGTTGTAGGAAATTATATTCTCGAAATTTAGAAATTTATTTCATGTTAATAGCTTATGTGTAGCATGAGTTATAGTCAAATTACCAAGGCATGTTCAGAGTGTTATTGTAGTTGAGCATTGTTGAAAACAACCACTGTAAACTAAAAACTACATCTATTCTATAGGGTATTTGAATTTATTCCCGTCATAAATATTCTAGAAAATTAAATTATTGAAATTTTGGCTCAGACCTCATGCCAAAACAACTTATATAACTTTAGAAAATTCCAAAATAATGAACCTTGTCCATGTTTGCTATAGGATTCTTCCTACTCTAAGTGCATACAAAATAGGATAATTTTCTAAGTTAATTGTAAGTTGAATGTGAGCTTAAAATATTATTAGAAATGGATTAGTAACACAAAGTGAATTTAAATTCTCATGACATAGAAACATAGAAATATAAAATTCTATAGGGTATTTTATTGCGTATATAGATTTTGCTGAAACACAACATCAAACTTTGAAAGAAATAAGTGTGGACATATCAGGTAAGGGGTAGACTATATAGTAAGGATTAAATCATAAGCATATTTGACCTTATTTGTTGAAGTTTTCTAAATTTGTTATGATTGATAATACATGCTTGGTGTATGATGGTGAATTGTTTACGTGTATGATGGTGTACAATACATGTTTGGTACTCTATTATGATATATATTGTCTTTGAGTGCAGTGGCAGATCTTCTTGGGAGCTGAGGGGGGCCGTGGCCCCCCCAAAGTTTTGTAACTCCCATGTAATTTATGATTTTGGCCCCCCCAAACTTAATGAACATTTAATACATTTACTTGTATATTTACAATTTTATCCTCCCAACCCCTCCTCAGTTTTGTAACTCTCATATAATCTATGATTTTGTTCCCCTCAAACTTAATGATCATTTAATATATTTAAGTATATATTTACAATTTTATCCTTTCACCATTTCATCTTCTTATTTCATTTTATATTTATTTATTATTTATTAATAATATATTATTTGGCCCCTCCAAGATCAATGGTCAAGATCCGCCACTGTTTGAGTGAGCATTTATATGCATGGTGGTTTTTCATGAAAAAGTTCATTGAAAATTAAATTGAAAGAATTGGATGATGGGTTGTGAACTCTTTTTGAACTGTATTGGAAGTTTTACTGCTTGTAATAGGTGATGGAAAGTCTGCATTACAAGAGAAACTTTGTCAAAAATTTTGGAAAAATGTGACTCTCTAAGAAAAACCATTTAAGGACTCATACATTACTTATCCGAAAATGGTGATTTGTGAAATTTAGGGAATAAGAGATTGTAACATCCCAAAAATTTATTATCTTCCACATACAATATATTAAATTATACTATTTGGATAATTTAAATATATTAAAAGAAATTTGTTATTAATATATATATATATATATATATATATATATATATTTGTTATATTCATAAACATGAAAGAGAAGAAAAATATTAATTATTAATTTTATTAATATATATATATATATAAGATAAAATTATCTTATTCTAAAAGATAAACCTTATCAAAATCATAATTTATGCACTTATGATTACTTAATTAAATGAAAAAAAATAAAAAATAAAAAAATTGTTATAAAAAGGGACCAAGGGGGAAGATCCGGTAGGAAGATAAGGGAGAAAGAGAAAGAAAGAGAAAGAAAGAGAGAGGGAGGAAGAGAAAGAGAGAAAAAAAAAGAGAAAGGGAGAAAGATAACCAGAGAAAAGAAAGAGAAAGATAAAATCGTCTTTGCAAAATTTTGGTACATCATCTGCAGTTCTTAAGGTAGATGAGGAGAATATTATCATTAAATCTATTTTATTTGTATTATAGTTGTGGAGTGAGGTGTCCCTAACCTCATTCTATTTATTCGATTACTTGTTTATTTATCTCTAATTACGTAAGGGTCCTGCCTTATGCTTGTTTATTTTATCTCCAGTCTTGTACTGGTCCTATTTTAATTATCTCCAGTTATGTACTGGTCCTGTTTGTTTATTTTATTTTATCTTCAGTCTTGTAGTGATCCTATTTTAATTATCTTCAGTTATGTACTGGTCCTATTTGTTTATTTTATTTTATCTCCGAGTCTTGTACAGGTCCTATTTTAATTATCTTCGATTATGTACTTGGTCCTATTTGTCTACTCTATTTTATCTATAGTAATGCAGTGATCCTATTTATTAATTTATAGTTATAATATTTAATTATTTTTTATAATAATATCTATTTGTGAAGATTTGATGATATTGTAGATGGAGGTTGGACCTTGGGGATTTAAATGAGTAAATATCGGTGAGAGAGTGATTAAAATTGGCCGCATTTATCCTAACTAGTCACTACAAATTTAATTTAAATCTTCATAAAATAGAATGTGTTGAAGAAGTTGAAACACACACACACACACAGATATATATATATTATAAGATTGTATTATTGTAAATGATAAATGTTCTCACTCCCTATTATGATCTTTTGTGCATGTTTTATTTAAATACCAACTTAAGTAGATAGAGGCACCAAATATTCCAAATCTCTTTTCTGCAAGCATCACTGCCTTCTTTCCAGGAACTACTTGGAACACGAACGTTATTACAACACAGTTACTTTTAAAGGGACAA